GAATAGTACTTGAAGAAAGCAGGTTGCCTGCTCAAACCAGAATCCAGATGAAATTTGTTTGGATTTGAGCCATTATTTGAAATTGGATTCATTATATTTTCTTTTTTCTTTTGTTTTCCAACCATAAAGATGAAAATTTATAATATTCAAATATAAATAAAAGCTAAATAATTAAAGGCCCAATAAAAGTCACAAAATTGATATGAAATTGTGAGTAGTAGCTGTAGATGCTTAGATGGATGGAAAGCGAAATTCACTGATGGGGTGAAATGCTGAAAGTTGGTAAAATGGCATTTTCAGAGTAGTAATCAGGGGGTCAATTCTAAACTAAAAGTTTCTGTACAAGTCCCTATCAGATGATGAAAACCTAATTCATATTTCCACCAAATCATATCTTCTACTCTGTTACCACTTTACCAAATTCAACACCCAAAATATGCTCTACACAACTCACCCCCAATATCCCTCCATTATCACCCAACTTTTACTTTTTTTTTTTTTTTTTTTTTTTTTTATAAATTTATTATGTTAAGTGGAGGTTTAAAAGTGTCAAATCTAACATTCTGTCATTAAAAAAAAAAATTAAAATGTCAATAATACTTATATCAATAATCGAAGAACTAAAATCACTATTTCTTGATGGAAAACACTATTTTTTTCCATCATTATTATTAATTTTATTATTTTATGGTTCATTGGTTAGGCAATGATTCCTTTTGCCCTTGTTTTTCCTTTGCAGTCTCTAATTCTTCCCTAGCTAGCAATATACAATAAGTTGGTATGGAGTTGTGATGCCACATTTGGTAAATGTTACTCTACCACACATGGTTAAGTGAGAAAAAAAATATTTTACTGCGGTTGATTGGTCCCCACGCACCACACTCTTTGCATATGCGTGCATGCATGGCTGACTATCATTGGGAATGTTCCACCAATTTTCACACTCATTAGGTTAAATTGCACTGTCATAGATACTATATTTTGAACCATTTTAGCGATTAGGGTTAAATTCTCTACACCTCTAGGGCTTGGGATAACTCTAATTTAGATGCATTATTAAAGAAAAAAAGATAGAAATTGCTTTACCACAACTTATTGATGTTGTGGGTAGGCTGCAAAATTTAGGGTGAAATAATTGGGGATATAGAGGGGTGGTAGCGAGATTAGAGCATTTTAACCGTTATAATAATCACATAGTTCTCGGTGAACCCTTATTCCTCTAGTTTAAATTTAGAATATTTAGAGTGGTGGTAACAGATTAAAGCAACATAATATCTCTCGATAACCAAACCATTATTTCTCTAGTTGAAATTTCTACCATTGGAGTGATGCGATAGACTACTCTAATAACTCTATTAATCGCACCTCATCCAAACAACCTGTCGGAGAGTAATTGGAACTTGGAACAGTCCAATTGTTCTTCTAAATGCACATTAAATCATTAATACGAAAAAGATAAGATAATGCTAAAACGGACTAATAACATATTAATTTACGAATATAATTAATGTCACGATAAAAGAAAATGAATATTCTTAATTAAAACAAATGATCACATGGAATCTCATAAAGGTTACACTACCAATTCAATGTTAAAGAATTCTGTACCAACCAACTTGATTAAAAACTTCACTAGTAATGATAGTTGTTAAAGTCCCCATAGAAATCAAAAAAGGAAAGGAGAAAAAAAGGGCAAGTATGGACCACAATATTGAAATGGAATTTTAATGGAATTATATCAGTTGAACAAAGATTATATGTGAAGTGTGAAACAGGGAAAGTGGAATCTGTTATCTGTAATCTGTACTTAGTTTTATAAGAAAATTATGATTGCATGATTGAAGGCAATTAATTTAGTACTCAAATTGTAGTACACTCATGCATGCACAGTTCTCTGCAATTTGATATATTTTTTAGAAACAAATAATTATATTTTCCCTTCTTGATTTTATCTCACAATGTTTATTAATAAAGTGAATTGGTCGGCTTACCTTGTCATAAAATGTAAATTTATTTATTAATCAAATATAAAAAAAAACATATTAATCAAGTAAATTGAAATCCGAGAATGTAGCATTATACTTTCGAAAAATATACTTATATAAAACTTTGTAATAGATTGCATCCCAACATAGTCAAAAAGTAGCATCAATCTTGCCAAACATTTTTAAAATAAGAAAGTGTTACTTTTTATAGTACAATAAAGTTTTAATAATTAAGGATCATTATTTAATTAGAGACAACATTGGTTTCAAAGAATTTACATATTTATTATTCCGTATTAATTAAGTGAAACTTCTCGTAAAAAATGACAAAAACCTCTCGTATTGCGTGTAATATATATAGTTCTTATTTACTACTAATAATTAATAAATAGTTATTTATTTATATTTATTTTTTGGATGGTAATAAAAATTTATCATCATTACCTAAGAATGTGTACTGAATAAATCATGAATCAATATTTATTTATTTATTGTAATTTGGTATGCACTTTGAATGACTTTTTAATTCGTTTAAAATTATGTTATTGTCAACTTTATTTTTGTGATTGAGTAAGTTGTTTTACCACATTCACACATTTTGCATTCTTTATTTATATGGAATAACTGATTGACCCAAAAGAGAGTTCTAGGTTATTTCATTTACTAATTAAAAAAAAAAAACATTTTTACTAATAGACTCTTTATGTTCCAGAATTTATGTATCAACATATACTACATTATAATTGGGTTAGAATTACTATTAAAAAAAAAAACTAGAAATCAAATTTTCTCCTCCAAATAAAAAATAATTCAAACTCCAATCACCTATCTACCCCACTCTCACTATTATATATTTATTTCAATATTTATTTACTATTGTGTTTACATTCATTACTATCTTTTCGTATTACTTTCACTATCATATCGTCTATCTTCATTATTCTGATCTACTTATATCAACATAACCTAGTGTTGGGAAGAATTGAATTAAATATCTACTTATACCAACATAACATAGTGTTGGGAAAAGAATTGAATTAAATATCTACTTATACCAACATAACCTAGTGTTGGGAAAAATTGAACTAAATACTATTGATTCTATTAGAATGTAATAGATGTTCAAATATACTTTTTTCATCTATTGAAACACAAAGAGTTAAAGCACCTACACTAGAGTTCGAACCTGAAACCTCTCATTTGAGAATCACCACAAGGCCTTTGGCTCACGTTAGTATTTTTAATCGACAATTTGATCGGATGAACTGAAATTGACAAAAATTGAAGAGAAAAGGGTCAAATATAGGCCCCTAAACTTTCTTTAAAAGGGCAAATTAGGCCCCTGAACTTCAAAAAGGTGCAATTAAATCCATAAACTTATTATTTTAGTTAATTAGTATATCCAAACCCAACAACCAGTAATTTACCTGAAATAGCCGTCATCAAATTTCCGGCGACAATTCCGGCGAAATTTCGGTGATCCTCTGAATTAAAAAAAAAATGGTGAAGGTCATCGTATTTCGGCCGTATTCTAATGGTGATGGAGAAGGCGGTCGTCCAGTCCTCTTCTCTAGTGGAAGACGACCGGACGGCCGGAATTTGACGACCTTCACCAGATTATTATTATTATTTTTAATTCAAAGGATGGTTGGAATTTCATCGGAATTGTCGTGGGAAATTTTATGACGGGCTATTTTCGGTAAATTACAGGTTGTTGGGTTTGAATGTACTAAAATAATAAGTTTAAGGGTTTAATTGCACAATTTTGAAGTTCAAGAGCCTAATTGCCCTTTTAAAAAAAAGTTTGATCATAGACATATTTGATCCTTTTCTCAAAATTGAATAATTATGAATTAAAATTGACAACTTTTAAACTCATAAATTCAAATAAAAATGCTCAATAGTCATAAAATCAAAAGTAACATTTGTTATTTTATAAAATTATAGTCCCAAACAATTATATTTGAAAAATGAATATTAGTAAATTTGTTTTCTAAGACTTCTCGGAAACATGTTTTCTAAACCCTTGAAAATTGAAAACATAAAATAAAGAATGAAAAGGAAAGTAAATGGGTCCTACTATTTTTTATTAGTTTTTCTTTCAGTATAAATAAATATTATAATATAATGAAACGGTGTTGGAGTGATAATTAATTAATTATTAATAGTCTATTTAGTTTGTAGGAAACGTATTTTTTAACAATTACTTAAAACTGTGAATTCTTATATTTGGTTAGTGAAATGGATAGCTAATTATGATAATCAAATATAATCGATAATATTAAAAAAAAATCAAATACGGAGTAAAAATGAAAGATGTAATGTAAACATTTAAAAATATAAATAAATATAATAATATCGTAATAGTCAGGACATAAATAAAAGTAAAAATTTTATTTTTCTCCCTAAATTATATTTTTATAGTATTTTTTTCTCTTTGAATTATTCATATATTCATCATATTAGTCTCTCCATTATACTAAAAGTGATGATTTTTCCTCTTGAATTGTTAAATGGACATTTTCATCTTTAAAATAAATATTTTATTTATTTTCTATCCAAAAAATTATTGCTAACATGTAGGGATGACCACAGTCCAGTTCTGAACTGGATACTATAGCAACCAAATCGAATTATCGAAAGGTTTCGATTATGATTCAGAATTGGAACCCAATGTCTCGATTTTGGTTTATTAAAATTACAAACTATAAACGTTATATTCTGAACCTGAATCGGCGGTTGAAAAATTTGTTAAAAAAAAATAAAATGAAATATTTATTCTAAAGGTAAAGTTTAAAGATATTCATTTAAAATATCAGAACTAAAATAACTACTTTTAGAATAATTAAGAAATTAATGGATACATGAGTAATTTAAGAAAAAAAAAATGTCATATGAATATATAATTCAAGTAAAAAAAAAAATGTCATTTAAAAAAAAAATTGCTACATTAAAATACGTATAAGTAACATCAAATGTGGAGTATTTATATTGGGAAGTACGCCCCGAAAAGTTACGTTTTTTCTTTTTCTTTTTGTGTTCCTTGTACCTCGTGGTTTTCTCTATCAGACCCCATCTTCCTCTCTCTTTCACTAGTCGCTTTTCACTGCAAATTCTAGACCCAACTCCCAACGTACACTCTCTTTCTTCTTTCTCTTCTCTAATGGCTTCGCTATTCCCATAAACCCCCCTATCTCCGGCTCTAATTTTAAGGTCTGAGGGAGATTTCAGTTTGAAGCCCTACCATAAAATGAGTCCCCATGACTCTTCCATAACCAGCAGCAGCGGCAGCTCCTCCTCCTCCTGCTCCGCCTCTCACGTCGACCAGATCGACAGCCTCCTCGCCGGCGCCGGCTACATGGTCCGCTCCTCCGACCTCCGCCACGTCGCTCAGCGCCTCGAGCATCTGGAGAGTTTCATGGGGAGCAGCCCGATGGGGTCCGAGATCTCTCAGCACCTCGGAAACGACGTCGTCCACCAGAACCCTTCCGACCTCGGGTCGTGGGTCGATTCCTTGCTGTCGGAGCTCCACCCGCCGCCCGTACCCGAATTCGCCGCTCCCTCGGATTCCAATTTCGTCCCCGCCGCGGGTCCCACCGGGTGGAGCGAATGTGAGGCGATGCTGCAGCAGCCGCCGCAGATTGTTTCCCCCGCGCATCTAACGGTGGTAACGGCCATGGAGCAGGAGGATTCCGGCATCCGATTGGTGCATGCGCTGATGACGTGTGCGGTTTCCGTCCAACGTGGCGAGTTCTCCTTAGCCGGATCCTTGATCGACGAATTGCAGCTGCTCCTGACACGTGTCAATTCCGGCTGCGGCATCGGAAAAGTCGCCGGCTACTTCATCGACGCCTTGAGCAAGAGGCTCTATACGCCGCAAGGGGTTAGCCTAATGGGATCAGCTTACGAGGACGAGATTTTGTATTCCCATTTCTACGAGGCGGCTCCGTATTTAAAATTCGCTCATTTCACGGCTAATCAAGCCATATTAGAGGCATTCCACGGCCACGATTGCGTCCACGTCATCGATTTCAACTTGATGCATGGCTTGCAATGGCCGGCATTGATCCAGGCGCTGGCTTTACGTCCCGGAGGGCCGCCGTTACTCCGGTTAACCGGCATTGGGCCGCCGTCCCCCGACGGCCGCGATTCCTTACGTGAAATCGGGCTCAAGTTAGCGGAATTGGCGCGTTCCGTTAACGTCCGGTTCGCCTTCCGCGGCGTGGCGGCTTCGCGGCTCGACGATGTGAAGTCGTGGATGTTACAAGTTGGGTCAAACGAAGCCGTGGCGGTGAATTCGATAATGCAGCTGCACAAATTGCTCGGCCCGGACCCGATCCGCGGCTCGCCCATCGATACGGTTCTTGGGTGGATCAGGAGTTTGAACCCGAAAGTTGTGACCGTTGTTGAGCAGGAAGCGAACCATAACCAGCCCGAATTTCTGGACCGGTTCACCGAATCTCTGTACTACTACTCCACAATGTTCGATTCGCTGGAGGCTTGCCCGGCTCAGCCCGAGAAAGCCCTAGCGGAGATGTACATTCAGAGAGAGATTTGCAATGTGGTGTGTTGCGAGGGCGTGGCTCGGGTGGAGAGGCACGAGCCGTTGGGAAAGTGGAAGGCTCGACTCACCGGAGCCGGCTTCAAGCCCCTGAATTTAGGCTCTAATGCATTCAAGCAAGCCAGCATGTTATTGACTCTATTCTCAGCCGAAGGCTACAATGTTGAAGAGACCGAAGGGTGTTTAACACTCGGGTGGCACAGTCGACCTCTCATCGCGGCTTCGGCTTGGCAGGCCAGCCGTGACTGAGCCAACCGAGCCGTTCACTTGGGGGTAAATTAGTCATTTTAGTTGTCAAATCTTTAGTAGCTTTAGCCCCCTAGTGCGACGTTTATTCAGTACACACCTTTGGATAGTGATTACGAGTTTTTTTTTCTGGTCACATAGTATATGTTCTCTTATGAGTTGAATCATGGAAGAGTTAATTACATATTGTACAAGGCAAGGCAAGGGAACCCAACAATCTTTGAAGTTGTGTAGTGATAGTGATGGGTTGGGTTGGGTTGGGTTTGTATGTAAAATTTCTCCTTCTGAAAACTAAATTAAACTTCTTTGTTTCATATAATGTGAAAAAGAAGAAAAATATTGAATGCTTAATATAAAAGTTACAGGTTTTTGGAGTTTGGGTCAGGAAGGGAATGAGAAAAAGAAAAAGTTTTGGGTTAGTTGATGATGAATCAGATTGTACAAATTGTTCAGAACTACCAAATGTTTAAAACAAGAAAAGAAAACAGCCCTCCACTTTATAGATGCCAAAACACACAGGTAACATAAATGGCAATTTCATAAGTGGTTGCGATTCCTAATATGTGTATCAGTGTATGTTCAAACAGGGATGCCAGTTGCAGTCTGCTGCTAACTGGCTGGCCTGGTAATCAACAATCCTGCAGAAATTAATTATTTTTTTATTATTTTTAAAAAAGTGAAGAAGTCTATGGTGATGTCTCTCTACTCTCTAGTTACTCGGGTTTTGAAATTTTCTATTAGCTTAATGATTCAGTAGACAGTATTTGAAAAAAAAAAGATCAAAGTTGAAATCCCAATGACGATTTGGTCATTTATATCTTTTGAAATATTCTGTCGGGTCCGAAGTGTGGGGGTCTTTGAGGTTGAAGATTTAACGTTTTGGGAGAACGATTTGAAATTTCCTTTACTATTTTAGCAATCACTAATCTCAATTATTGTACGATGGTATTGGGAATTTCATTTATTGGTACATTCAATTCATATATTTAAGTAGTCAAGTTTTTATTATTGTTACGTGCCCATTGGAACTTGTTAATTAAAAATAAGTTTTCTAAATAGCGTTAATTGCATGGAAAACGATTTTTCTTTATTTTGCTTAACCCTTTTTTTTCCCCTCCCTCTGTTAAGTATTTAATGTAATCATCAGCCTTATACAATTTAAAAGAACAATGATATTTTCCCCTTTTAAGTTCACCTCTTACGTGTTAATAAGATTCTTTATTTTTGTTGACCACTAATTAATTGACCGATTCCACCACATTTAAAACAAAAATATACTGAATAATGGAAAAAGAAAAATATACTGAATAAAGAAAAATCTAATTAGACAGTGTCACGATATCAAGATGTGACTCATGTGAGTAGCAGAAGCAGTATGTAGTATTACAACTGAACATATACTAAAATTATATGTTTTTAAATTCTTTATTAGCAAATGTTACAACCCCTCCCTCGGTCCCTCCCTTTTTTTTTCTTTGTTTTATTTATTTATTTATTATAAAATACTAATTTCAATCCCATGAGTAAAATGTTAATTGACAATTTTTTTTTTAAAAAAAAAACAACAGTACGTGTAATCCTCAACCTTTTGATACTTTTCGTGTCAAGGAGTATTTTATTCTCGAAATGGTAATTAAATGCATTCTCAAATAATAAGACGCTTGTCACAATAATATTTTGTTGGATAAAAAATAGGAAAAAAATAGTGACTTGCTTTATCTTTAATCAATCAAACATCATCAGTAAAGAAAAAAAGAATGTTAACAATTGTAGTAGTACATTTTCACTCTCAAAATTAGAATATTAATAGTCCATCTTTATTTTGGGGTAAGAATGACAATTTTAATCCGCCCCCAAAAAAAAATACACACACACACCAAAATTCACCCCACATTGATTAAGTTTCTTTTGAGTGACAACATGGCTGGGTTGGGAGTGAGTCATAAAATATTAATTTCGCATTGGGTAAAGTTAGATGTGAGTTTTATACACCAAACTCGCATAGAACCCAACCCAACCCACCCTGGATCAAATAAGAACTTGTAGAAAATAACTAAGAACCAATCAAAGTTGTTTATTTGAAAAGATCTATGGACTTTAAAGCATGAAGAAAAGGAAAAAATGCATTGAATGTGAAAATTAATTGCAATTAGGGTCTACCTTTCAAACTTTATGATTTAATTTTTTCTATTTGGTTTAAGGGTTCACTTTTTACTATCTAGGAGTTTAAAATTAATTTATGGTACACCTTTGAATTTATTAATAGAGTAGTCTTACTTGCACTGTACTCTATAGTGTTAAAAGTTGCACTATATAGTGTGTTTAATTGCACTTTAAAGTGTAAGCTATTTACAAAAATGTCATTCTATTTATTCTATATTTGCTTCTGATTTATTAATTTTTTTTCGTATAAATGACTTTGATCAATTACTAGTTCTCTCTTAGGCGTTTGTTCTCACAGGAGTGTGTGAATATATATGAAATAAACTCCATTAAACATGAAAGGGAAGCAAGAACCTCAAGTCATTGTTATCCAAGTGATGGGGTGGACATTACTATATTGATCAAGATTGTTTACCAAATATTTTAACCATTGATATGACTTACATAATGAATTGACAACAAAATTAAATTAGTCACTGATAACTAATAAATATAAAGAAACCATGGCAAGATTAATTAATAGATTTGGTGTTATCAAACCTATTGTTTATAGGGGGTGGAATGGTATGTTTATAATAAACCTATTGTGCATTTGAGGAATATTACACGGCCAAACTTCCACAGCTAGTGGTCTAAAACATTGATAGTGCACCCTACACCCTCAAAGGAGTGGCCTTTTTTAGACCATTGATTGAAGTGTCAAACAAATATTTAACCAAATGTTGACCATGTAAAAAGACTTCAAACCAATTATATATATGTTCCCATATAATGAAAATGTTAATTAATCAGTTTGTGTATTTTCATAAGTTCAATCAAAGACTTTTGGCATAAAAATTAGTTGCTCAATCCTATTTCGATGTTACCATCTTATCAAAAAAAAAAAAAAAAATGTTGAGTCTTTTACATTTACTAGTAATGATAATGTAAAATAGAAGTTACTGCAATAAAAGGTGAGAGTTAATTTCAAAAATGGTCTTATGATTATTGATATTTACTAATTTTTATCATTAACTTTCAAATAGATTATAAATAATCAATTGGCTATTGACATTTACCAATTTTCATCATAGACTTTCAATTTGATTATAAATGATCTCTTAAATATTGATTTTATTCCAAATTTCATCTTTCAATTAAATATTCATTTAGTAAACATTAAATTTAAGGGTAATAATGTAAAAGTTGACTTCTTGTTGAGATAGACAAATTGGATTCATAAACTTAATACATTGGGCTTATCATTAGTGAAAATGTGAAGAATCAAATTCTTACATTATTATCCTTAAATTTAATTGGATGACCAAATTTGGAACAAAATCAATAGTCAAAATGAAAATCAATGGTGAAAATTGATAAAAGTCAATAGTTATTGGACCATTTATGGTCCCAAAAAAAAGTTGATGATAAAAATTTATAGTCAAGGAACTATTTTGGAATTAATTAACTCAAAGCGTGATAATGAAAGTGCTACTTTCCTTTTTTACTTTGTATGGAAAAATTTGTAGCCGCTATTCGAATGTCTGCTCTAGGTGAAGCCCACTTTGCAATCCCAGTCAGCAAAAGACTAAGTTGAGGTAAACTAACTTAGGTTGTTCATAGCTAATTGACTCAAATTAAAAAGGTTCAATAGATAACTCTTACAAGGAGTTGAACTTGAAATTTTGTGATCACGTTACCAAGAACTTGTTGGTTGAATTACTGCACATAACTTTATAATCAACTTTTTATAACTTTTTGACATAGCAAAAACTTTTTAAAAAATTTATTAACTATTTATAAATTGACAAACACGAATTAATAATCAACTATTAAGAGAAATATGCTATTTCTGTATGTAAGTGGGGTACTAAAATCAATGTTGCAAAAATCGCGCATAGGCGCCGCTTAACCGCGGTGAGGAAGGCAGGAATCGGCTTCCTCCGCGGCCGGGTTGCTAGGCGGTCGCCTAGTCGGTTGAACCGCCGTTTTTTTTTTTTTTTTTTAAATTTTAATTATTTTTTAGGATGGTTGAAAAGTGTGGAAACTTTGGCAAGACATAACTTTTGACTCGGTTATCTGTTTTGGACAATTTTTTTTTGAAATTGCGTATCTTTTTGAGATCGCCGTAGGCAGTTTGTCCCACTAATTTCTTTAAAAAATGCTTCTTTTGCTCTTATTTTTAGTTTTTTTTAAGTATTTAAATGGTTTTAACAATATTTTGAACAATTTTATAGCCACTCAAATAAATAGTTTGTAAGAAAAAACTATGGCAACCTTATGTTTTATTAATGAATTTTTACGATTTTTAGTTTAAAATTTTTTATTTTTTTTTTTAAAATTAAAAAAAAATTACTCGGCACCTAGGGGGCGCCTAGTGTACTGGAGGGCTCATAAGTGCACTTCTTGACGTGCTTCCCTAGTGTATTTCCTGACTCGAATAGTGTATGTCGATCTACTTATTGATCACATTATTTTTTTTGGTGTAAACCACAAGGTGGTCCGGGTCCACCCGACTAATCCCCATTCGCTCCGGGAGGCACGAGAGCTGACCCAAAGGGAATCGTCACTTGTGGGAATCGAACCCGGATTATCCCGGAATTCTCCCCTACAAAGAGATCTCATTTACCACTTGAGCTACCCTGTTGGGTTATTGATCACATTATTAGTATACTTGCCGGTTGCCTTATCAAGTAGACTTACCAGTCGCCTTGTTAGTAGACTTCTTGACCGGCCTGGTCAATAATCACACAATGACTGTCAAGTGTCCGCAAGATTTAAACCAAGCTTCCCATCACATGGTCAGACTTCTAAGGACACTTGAAGAGCATAACTTCACCGCCGAATCTCCGAAGGACACGTGGAAGACATGCTGAACGGTCGACATGTATCCTCACACCCCTATATATAAATGACACTTATTGCTCTTGGTGAGGAGGGTTGTTTAATTTCTCCCAAGTCCCGACCTACACCACTCCAATCGAAGCTTCCCGACCTTGCGTGATCAGACAATTAGTTAGCTTTCCAACCACGCTGCTCACCTTTAGTTAACTTTCTGATTGCGCTACTCGCCATCAATAGACTTTTTGGTCACGTTCGTTTCCCTTATATTTAATGTACATTTCAATAGCATTCAGTATTGTAGGTCAAAATTTGTATCATTCAATCCTATAAGGGTCCGTTTGGAAAGCAGGAAAATAACTTCTGGAAAATGTTTTCCGAAAAATGAGTCATTTTCCAGAAAACATTTTCCTTTCCAGTGTTTGGTTGCATTCTGGAAAACTGTTTTTGTGTGTTTGGTTCATTTTCTGGAAAATGAGTGGAATTGTATAATTAAATATTTTAATTATTTTATTTAGAATATTATAACATTTCTAATAATATATAATAATATAATAATAATTTTAAATATAATAAAAAAATACGGAGTAACTAATAATATATCAAAAATATTATGGTGGTGGTGGTGTAGTGGTAGTGGTGTTATTTGTTATATAATAATAATAGTAATAGTTATAATAATAATAATAACAATTGGTGGTGGTATGACGGTGGTGGCAGTGGTAGTGGTGGTGGCGGTGGTATGGTCGTGGTGGTGGTGGCGGCGGCAGTGTGATGGTGGTGGCGGTGGTTGCGGTGGCGGCGGTTGCGGTGGTATGGTGGTGGTGGTGGCGGCGGTGGTATGGTGGCGGCGACGGTGGTTGCAGTGGTATGGTGGTGGTGGCGATGGTGGTAGTGGTGGTGTGATGGTGGTGGCGGCGGCGGCGGTGGTAGTGGTGGTGGTGGCGGCGGCGACGGTGGTTGCGGTGGTGGCGGCGGTGGCGGCGGTGGTGGTAGTGGTGGTGGTGTGGTGGCGGTGGTGGCGGTGGTTGTGGTTGCGGTGGTATGATGGTGGTGGTGGTATGGTGTTGATGGTGTTGGTGGTGGTAGTGGTTGCGGTGGTATGGTGTTGGTGGTGGTAGTGGTGGTGGTGGTGTGGTGGCGGGTGTGGCGGCGACAGTAGTGGTGGTGTGGTGGCGGTGGTGGCGGCGGCAGTAGTGGTGGTGATGGTGGTAGTGAGGTGGTGGTGGTATGGTGTTGATGATGTTGGTGGTGGTGTGATGTTGGTGTAAAAGTTGGAAAATGACTTCCCCCAAAAAAAAAGGGAAGTCATTTTCCTCCAAAATAAGCCTATTTTCCAAAGTCAACGGAAAATGATTTCCGTTGACTTGATTTTCCATGCACAACCAAACAATGGAAACTTGGAAAATGATTTCCAGAACTCATTTTCCAGGTTTCCAAACACACCCTAAATAGATTTCGTTCTAATCCAATCTAAAAAACTTGTATTTTTTTTTTCTTTCAGGGTTTCCACGTAAAACGCATGACCTTGTTATTTCTTTCGTACTACTCATTCTAGTTATTGTACAAGGTGACCCGAACTAATAACAATATCAAATACCAAATAATCATTTTCTTCCTGACAAAATGAAATAATATACTTTTGATTAAATATTTATAAATTAAGTGAACATAGCATGAACAGATAAAAGAATTGAATATAGAAGAATCAAATATTTGTGTACACACATCTAGATGAGGTAGTGGTACGCAAAATAAGAGAAAAAGAAATATAATGGGACGGGGCCCGTTGAACGTAATAGAGGGGTGTCGTGGGCAGAGAGCCAGAGAGGAAATCACATGAGCTTTCTGTCCCCCACCCTGCATTGCATTACTGTTCCCTCTTTTCTCTATCTCTTTTCCTTCAATTCCCATATCTCTCTCTCATCTCCATCAACATCTTTCTTTCCCTTTCACCTCCACTCTCCCTTCTCATTACTCTTTTACCATTCAAATTTAAACCATTACAATACTATATATTGTTTTCCAGTGATTCTTGAATAGAGATTCTAAATTTTAGAATCAGTGTAACTTAAGCTGAGAAACTTAATATATTAATTTGTAGTTCGGAAGAAATGAGTAAAAATCACCCATTGTTTCTAAAAGTTGAAAATCTTCAATTACAAGTGTTTTTCACGTCCCAGTCTAACAGAGCTTTTGAAAAAGATGTAAATCATGATAACTCAGAGATCATAGACATTTGATAAAAAAAAAAAAAAAAAAAAAAAAAAAAAAAAAAAAAGGAGTTTCCGGAATAGGAGATGTGTAGGCTCGGTGTTATAACGCCACCACGTGAACCCGTTTTCCAGGTCGTCTGATGTGGCCCTTCTGGGCCCCCTCAATGTGTACAAGTCATCAATGACTGCAATATGGAGGGGACCACCATCATGGACCTTGCCCCAAGAGTTGCCGCTCTGCTTCTCTCTCTTTCTCTCTCAACCTCTCCCATCCCATTTTTCTCATGTCTTGATAACGATATCTCCATTGCTTTCAACTCTCCATTTTTTCCGTTTTCTTTTTAATTAGAACTATGATTAAATTAACAAATATCACAATAATCATTTGTACATACATGTTCATTAAATATACGTACCACCAATACAATTATATTAATACGGAGTATCTAATTATGATGCCGTAAAAATTCTAAAATTTTTCTTTTTTTTTTTTTATAAAATATTATCTTTTTCAAACTTTAGTTTATTGTTGCATGTTACACTCAATCACATACTAAATGTAGCTATCATAGTGCTGGAATTTTGGACCCCATTTCATATTAAGGTAGCTGTGTGGTCCCGTACCAATGCCGCCTCAAAGTGTAGGAAATTTTAATATACACTAACAAAAATATTTCACACATTTTCTGTTACTTCGTAGCTGTCATGTTTTCGTTGCACTTACCACGAGTATCTTGCACAAATTTTTGAGTAAGAATGACAATACTGATAGAATATTTTGGAATCTAAATTGTGAAATATACTCGTTCACACTATGTATTTTTTTAATGAGATAATTTAGATAATGTGGGTATTTGGTAAATAGTTGTTAGCTGATTGGGTTAGTGGGTTTAGCTGATTGTAGAAAAGCATTTGGTAAATTTTTTGTAGCAAAGTGTTTGATAAATTAGTTGTTAACTAATAATTGATTACATGTAAAATGTCTTTCTTAAAAAGATGATCAAAAAAGTTGTTTCGAACAATTTTTTTAAATTTTAGCATTTTGGAATAATAAATGTTACAAAAAATTAATTAATTACACACTCATATTAATTGTTTAACCATATCAAATAACTAATGTGATCAAATAAGTCAAAATTGACTAACAAGTTAATTGTGTTACCAAACAAGGCCAATGTATTTTGTAAGTGTAAAAGTTAGATAAACTAAATTTATGTAATGAATGGTTCATTAATTTAGGGGACATAATAAAGTCCTAGAATTCAGCTGTCTTTTTTTTTTTTTTTTTTTTTTTTTTTTTTTTTTTTTCACTTTCGCACCATTTAGTTTCTCTTTATTACCTTTGGGTCCATTTTCACTTTCATGGCCTCGGCCACACACTGTTTAGTTATTTTCAGTTCTTGTTTCTAAAGTGGGGCCATGTTGGGTACTTGACACTACCAGATATTGGCCTCGTGTTAATGGGTAAGGCCCAATTTTGAAGATTAAAGCCCATGTAGAGGTCAAGCAATTGTTATTCCATGGATCAGGGTTCATATTGCATTGTGTATCCTGATATAAAAATTCTGTACTTTAACTTAATACATTCTGTACATACAGTTAATCATTTCTGTACATGTAAACAAATAACTTGATAATTACTGACACATAATATGATAGCTACATATACAAAAACTATCAACTGCAAGTACATAATGTGTCAACTATAGATACATAATCTGAATGTTATTTTTGGACCAGCGTCTACGATGCAAAGTAGACCCTGATCCATGGTATAATTTGCCTTGTAAAACCATGGACGAAGTTCCACCTTGCATCTGTAGTTAATTTAGTATGTATTTTTAATTATTAAATTATGTACCTGTTACCATTAAATCTACAGTTAAACATATATTGTGCATACAATTAATAAATTATGCACTTGTACTTAACAGTTTAACACATTATGTGGGTTCAATTTATTTATAGGTGCATAATATATTAACTGAAGGTACACAATATATTAACTACAGTCACATGATCTGAATATCATTTTAGACTAGGTCCACAATACAAGGTGGACCTTGGTCCATGCTATAATTTGCAAATAGTTATACTGTGCAACCGTGTGCACCATACATAGTGCACACGGTTGCAAAACGACGTCGTTTTGACTAAAAACGCGCGTCCCATTTAAAAAAAAAATCAGTTTCGATTCCCCTCAACAACATTATGTTGTTCATTGTGGATTTTTAGTTCAATCATTGTGGATATTTAGTTCAATCATTGTGGATATTTAATTCATTCATTCTGGAATTTGTGTTATTCGTTCACTCTGAATATATAGTTATAAATTTGTGGATATATAGTTATGAATTCGTGGATATATAGTTATGAATTTGTGGATATATAATTCAAATTATGCACACAAAAAATGTTATTGTCGGGAATCTAACCTGAATTTTTTTTTTAAAGTGGGACGCGCGTTTTTAGTCAAAATGACGTCGTTTTTGCAACTATGTGCACCATACATAGTGCACACGGTTGCACAACATAATTTGCGATAATTTGCCGAGGTCAAGCATAGAAAATTTGGTTAAGGAGTTGAGACTCAAAATTTGTCATACATTAGGATTTAGGACTCCCTAGTCCCTACTATATAAACATTTCCAGCTCTTTTTCCCCTACTCAGTTCAAACTTATATGACCTTATTTTGCTCTTTGCCTAGCAATAGAACATCACATTTTTCACCTTCTCCTTCAATGCCGGCAGGGGCCGCACCCCGGAGCCATTCGTGGTGCGCGTGCAGCGCATCGAGCCGTTCTCGTGGGCGTCGTTATCGACATAAAATCGCGCTCTGTAGGCCGCCAAATGTGCATAATATGCAGGAGGGACTGTATTCATAGTAACACAGATGCTTGTGAGATACCATATTATAATGCAGCTTTGCACATGAATAAAATGCAGAAGCAAAAAACACAGTTCTATCTGGAGCATCAGAGCTTTGAATGAGAGAAAAAGTTAGAAGATTACCAACAGAAACAGACCGAGTGCATCGTGCATACCTGCATTCGTTGCAGTTAAGTTGTTACTAATAATGGAAAAGCGAGATAGTTAAAAAGGAGTTTCAACGTAACACGACTAGATTGAGAGAAAAGAGATTCGTTACGTATAACAAAGGTTGTTTGTCAGAGATTGGATTTCATCTGCTGTGAAGTTGTTCTCGTCCCAAAGAACATGGTAGTGTGCAGGACGACTGGTCCCCTGCAAATGTAAACGATGCCACGGGGTCAAACATGGAAAACAGAGAATGAAAACTGGAAAATTTAAAAACAGAAAACAGTTTCCCGTTAGTAAACAGGCCCAGATTCCTATAAGTTGCTAATGGTTTGTCCTTTGATTTGAATGAAATTCAAGCACTTACCTGAATTCCAGCATGACTGCATAGATAAAAATCGAATTCTGTAGGATGGCAAATCTTAGAATCCACCACAGTACCTGCATTTTGTTGTTATAAATTTCAATTATATCAAACGAGAAAAACGAACATTCAATCATCAAAACGTCTTACCAGGTAACACATTCCCACTCCTGTCCATATGGTTTCGGTCATTATGGTTGTTAGCAAAAAGCCTCGTGTGATGACGTTTTTGGACAACAATGAAAGTAACCAGAGGTTGGTAACCCGGTTCCAGTGATGCACAAGCCTGGAGCCGAGGCACAACAGGAAGTAATACAGATTTAGAAGACGAGTAGATCGAATTAAAAACATTAACTGCAGGAGTTAGTTATTCCTAAATTCACAAACCTTGCGGATAGCATCAAGCTCGTACAGTAGAACCTGATAGAACTGCCCATCGCTCACACCATCCCTACACCCGTTAAGGTAATTAGAACAAAACATCACAGGTCTACAAATATAAGACTAAAATACCTATAGAATATTATCCTCAGCGGTTTTTGTCCCGTGGCCTTCTTAAATGCCAGCAAAAGTTCCCTGCAAATCGTTGAAACAAACAAACATGTTCATTTCCAAGCATATCTGCTATAATACGTTGCTGCATATGAAGTAAGGATATTGAACGAACACCTACCTAATCATGCCTCCAGAAACTTTCCCCCATTGAGGATCGTGCCATGTTCTGTAAAGATCCTGAATGAGTTCTTGTCGATGTGGCTGAGCACACACTAAACCCGCATACTTGGTAACTTCGGGCCAATCTTGCGAGGCCACGACCTTCACCAAATAACAGCAGATGTCATAAATTTTATCCTCAGCTCGAACAACTTAATTCCAGTAGTCAAATAAACCAAGAAGCTAAGCTTAGATTCTTACAGCAGCTATTGATGGGCTACAGTCCTCTCCAGATTCGGGATGAGTAACATCAGCCCCGAAAATGATCGTTGGGATGTCGCTCACCAGAGGAACTTTCCATCTTAAAGCATCTAAAAGCACAGTATTTCTTCCTCCCATCTGCATTAACGTTTTCAAAACCACATTATTAAATAATTATATTAATTAGCAACATTTTCAATTCACTACTTCCAACTTGCCTTCACATTAATCTTAAGCGATACATTCGACAGGTATTGTTTGCTGATCTTTAAGACATATTTCGTGAGGCAGCACTGCGATATCAGTCCCAGGTCTGTTTCACAAATTCGCTTCAGAGTACCTGAATATCAAGAATCTAACTTCGATTAGTATATTATTCTAGAATGATCAATAATGCGTTAACTAGTGAGTATTAGCTGGACACGTACCATACAACGGACCGTTATTGTCTGGAAGAATGGCTATGAGTAGTTCTAGCTCTTTTCCCCCGGGTTTGTTGGCAGCAACGTTATAAACGTAGTTCAAAGCCTTCTTTACCTGATCTGGTTTAGCCGAATAGATCGGGATGACTGGCTCACAATTAAATTCCTGATATCAAAGGTCAAAAATGAAACCATTTATGCAGTATAAAATTAATAACATAAGTTTCCAAACAATTTAAATGATAAAATGTTACCATTCCAGAGACTTGACACATCTGGGCTAGCTGTTGGCAAAAGCCACGAGCAGCGTTTTCCTGGACATTACGCGAGAAATTGATGCAAGCCCAGTGGTTGACGGTGCTTCCATTAATTACTTTCTGTAACGGGAGAACAATATCATGATCCTGGTACTAGAACAAAAATACGGTGTTGTTAGAATTGAGAACCGGGCACCTACCTTATTTATCATGTTCCACTGACCTTGCTGGGGTCGACATTCCTTTTCCTTTCCAGAATCATGGTATTTCAACTAAAAGAAACGAAAAACGAATTGGTGAATATGTATCATCACGCTCTGAAGCTAAATTTCAAGACACAAGCATATATATATATAGTAGCGTTACCCATGGGGCAGGGAGAACACGAGCTTCAACCGATGCTAGCTTATCATCAATGTTGATGCCAAATTCCTTGGCAACGGGGTCTTCCTTGTATCCATTTTGCTTAACAACCTGCAAAATGTCGAGTTCTTGCTCTCGAGGCCTTTGGCATGAAGATTTTAGCAACGAAGTTATCTGCTTCTCATCCAGCCGTTTCGTATACCTCTGCCCCTCAACAATCTTACAAGCCTATTGAAGCCAAAATCGGGACTTTTGGAATTTTTTGCCTAAAGGACAAAATTTTAAACATATTTGGGAAGAATCAATTCAACTACTTAATTACCTCCATTGGTAAATAATTAACTTTCCTTTGACTTCCCACTTGGAGGCAAGGTAAATGCGGATATTGAATGGTATATCCATACATCTCTTGAAAATACTCGATTACTGATTTCATGTTCTTTTCCTCATCAACGGGAAAACTATATTCACCAGAAGTAGTTAAAATGAATAAGTAGCCAAGAAACACCAAAGCTAGTTATAATAGAAATGAATGGTGAATATAATGTTACATTAGCTCCCTGGTTGGTTGTGATGTTAAACCCGAAATTCTGTATTTTCTTCTAATGTTTCCCCTGTGCGTAACTTCAACTTTCACACCTCTCAGGGCTTTCTTAACCTGCAGAATTAGTAACATTTTAAATGTACTAGGTAAGTAATTATTCGGTTCACTAATAAGGTGATCTTACCTTAACCCGATCTGCATCGGAGAGTGGCCTGGAACTTATATCTCGTCCTAAAACTTGAGCTACAAACTCAACAACCGGGAGAGGTTCTATGAATGCTGTCGTTGACATATCTGCCCAGAACATATAAAACCGTTAATTCTAAGTAAAACATCAATACTAATATGCAGTACCAAGATTCATATATAAAAGGAAACCGATATGTGGGATTTACAGACTATCCTACCAATATTCAGTGATAGTCCCATTTGAGTCGGTTTTATACTCTGATAGAAGCCCCGCCAAGACTGTAAGCCATTACCAAGAGCCTGTGGTTTCTTGATACTAGGAGAATAGAAGAATCTCCCAACAGATATATACCTACAAGCATTCGAAATGACAAGACATATATATATATTTGAGAATGTAATAATGCGAAATCTCTTGGTTGGGGATTGGAGAAGAGATTATGAATTAAACCTTTGGGATGCAAGTTCCCTCAATACAACATCGAAGATTTTAAGCACTTGAAAAGGGGCATCAGCTTGTTTCCCAGCGAGAAAATTGTGCAACTGAGCCATGTCTGCCTGAGCTGAAAACTTGATTGTGACACTAAATCGACGCTCCCTAACATGATATAATCAACAACGTTTTAACTAACTAAGATCCATTCGACGAGAAATAATGCATATATAGCAATTAACTAACTAACTAACTTACTTTGTGATGCCACTCCACTCATCATCATCAGCCAGAGTTATGATAAAGTCTTTTGTGTTAAAAGGGAGCAATCCAGCTGTGTACAGCATTCGCCTCCCATCATACACCGGAAGCCTATTCCCCAGCTCGGTTTCTTTGTGGCGTTTTACCAACTCAGTCATGATAGCTTTGTTCAATCGAGTGGAATTAATTTCCGGGCTAAACTTAACCTGTATTCGAACACAAAAAAATTGTAAGAACTTAACTCGAATTAATGCACCCGAGAAATTAAACCAACAATGGCTTACAGTATACTGGCTTAAGTTCCTATCGGATAGCTCAGCGACGAAGTGATTGGCCTTCACAATACATTTGGTCCCCAATTGGCCATAGCCAGGCCTAGTGGGGAAAGAAAGCCTCCGGTCAGACGAAGAAGAAGGGGGATTATTATTATTACCACCTATCTCCAACATCTTTTCCATTTGTACCCCTTTCCCTTTCCTCCTTCCCCTTCTCCTCTTGGCTTCTTCTTCACCATCGCATCTCGACAAGATTCGAGACACAGAATTCTGATTCCTCGACTCCTGCAATGGAGTTCTGGAGATCACATGCTTTTCCTCAGGCTCTTTCATCTGCCACTGAGGCATTTCCTATGATCTTGTGAATCTCTGATCTGATGTGCCCTTCACACCAAAAATTAATTGCATTCAGAAGCTAAAGAATATGGTAGTAAGACAAAGAAATGCAATAATAAAAAAGAATCATAGGACAAATAAAAAAACACAGATGCAAAAGGAATAGGATAGAAAGAATCAAATCTCTATATGACACGCTTCTGTCGCAGCACTGTTTTCCCCCTGAAAAGGTTTACACCAAAAGTAAAAAGAGCCATGCAACCATGCAGATCCCAGTAGGCAATAACAAACAAGAATCCAAAACCCCAAAAAAAATAAAATCAAAATCTTCACAGTAAAATTACTGTGTATATATAGGAAGTTAAGTTTTAAACATTTGAAAACACCTGAGGTGGTGGGATGAAGGGACAGAAGTGAATGTCTCCTTAATGCTAACGAACTAAATCTTCAATGGCGTGTCAATGTCAGGAAGAACAGATGACGACAGAATCCCATACGTTACTTACCCTGTTCTTCTTTTGTTTTTAACCCCCCCCCCCCACCCCCCACCCCCCACCCCCATTGAGGTCCGTGAACAATGCAAGAACTTCTGGACTTCTGCAACATCCTCCGGTCAATAATCAGAAATTTTTTGGTTGGTTTCTTGTACCCATCCACTACCAGAATCAAAGTTGGGATCTTTTCTTTAGAAAAGAATTCTTCATTGGCCAAATGAGAAGAAAGAAGAACAAAAGTAAATACTGTAAAACAAATCCCAATCAAAGCATGAAGGGTGGGTGGGCAAGCAAAAGGTACTAAGAACCTTAAATGACAAGAATAAGTCTTGAATGATCTTAATCAAGCAGCAGAAAGCCAGAAATTGTGGGTCATAATTTTTTTTTAAAAAAAAAAATTAAGGTACAGTAAAAAGCTGGAGACTGTGAACTAAGATTGACAGGAGAGCAATTAATGTTGGAGGGCTAGTGCCAGAAAGGTAAAATTCCTGGGCTGAGAGCTATGGCAGGAGAGGATTTTTAACTACTACTAACTGCAACCCAGAGGTAATTTCAAGAAGACAACAGGATTACTGTGTGAAAAATAAATAAATTACTGTGTGAAAAAATGGAGGGTTTGAGATTCAAGGTGGTTCACACATGATAGGGATGTCTCATAACTCACTGCCAGAATGGTTTCACCATAACGGTCCAAGTGGTTGGCTCTGGATTCAATGTTGGTGGATGTGATTTCTTGCCTAATTTCAGAAATATACACCTCTCATTAAACCACATCACTCACTATATTACTGTACTCTCATTTATATCACTTCAAGAATTCTCATTTATATCACTTCAAGAATTCAATCAAAATTGTGCAATTAATTCTCACACTCTCAGATGAAGCTACCTCCTTCTAAGTAATTGCTCTCATCTGCTTCTTGGGGTAATACTATATTACCATGGAGTATTTGCTAAAAATCTCTTTTACCAGACAATTTTCTTTTTACCATAATCAAGTATTAACTTATATCTAGTATACTCAGGTATAACATATCTAGTAGACTTTTTATCCACATCAAATATTAGTCCTCCTACATACTAGGGCGTACCTTATTGAGATATGAAAACTTTGAATTGAGAGAATTTCACCTTTTGTAAGCAAGATATAACATATATGGTTGTACATCCAATAATACTATTGGTATCATACAAAAATCATATATACAATTATGCATAATGAATTCTATATTACTTTTTTTGGATCAATAGGGAGGGGGACACCGGTAGATCTAATTCTATATTACTTGTTACAAACAAGTCCTTTTACGTGCGATATACATAAATAAATGTTCAATGTTAATGCTAATGTTAAAATTATAGTTGTATTGAAGCAACTTTTTTTAAATAGTAGTATACAAATTTGTAAAATTCATATTATATTAAAAAGTATAGTTAATAATTTGGGTAATTGTTATGGAATGATTAACAATTGTTAAAGTAAGATTTTTAGATACAGTAATTGATTAAATATAATTATGATAATATTTAATGTATATTAACAAATTGATTTAATTACCGATTTGGTCCCTCGACTATGAGGATTTCACCAATTTAGTTCTCCACTTTCAAAATTTCTCAATATAGTCCCCGACTATGCTTTTTTTTTTTTTTTTTTTATTTTTTTTTTTTTATTACCTGAAGTGGTCCTTACCGTTAAACATCCATTAACTCAGGACCAAATTGGTAATTTTACTATAGTCAATGGACCATTTCTGTAATTATCTTTCAGAGAAAATGGTGCATGTGATGACCGAAATGGTCCCTTGACTATAGCAAAATTACCAATTTGGTCCTGAGTTAACGGATGTCTAATGGTTAGGACCATTTCAGGTAAAAAAAGCATAGTCGGGGACTAAATTGAGGAATTCTGAAACTCGAGAACCAGATTGGTGAAATCCTCATAGTCGATGACCAAATTAGTTATTAACTTTAACTCTAACAAATTTAACAGTGTAAGGCCAACTTTGTCTTATAAAAATAATAGTACAACATTTGTAGCGTAATGTACCACTCAACAAGTATAGAAATATAAAAAAAAAAAAAAATAATAATAATAATAATAATAATAATAAATAGCTTCAAAGCAGCGTTTGAAAGTGGATGGACTTCTTCCTACTACTGTGATGGCCGGGCACCACTAAAGACAAGCAAACAAGTTTTGGGGGAAAAGGAAGCCAAAAAAGTGATGAGAATTGCAGCTTTTCTTTTAGCACCCACCACTCAATTCACCACAAATTTCTTAAACTCCACGATTTTGAGACAATAGACTTAAGTTTAAATCTGGGTACTAGACTCGGCTCTTCACCAGCTTCTATCTAACAATTCTTTAGCTACCTGATGTTGAACTTAACCCTTCATCGACTTCCACCTAACAATTCTCTCTCTCCCTCTCTCCAGCACCCTGCTAGTCTTAACTACACAGTTTTTACTCGTGACTTGACTCTGATATTATTTACTAGGATCAAACACTTACTATATGGTAAGTCCAGCACCTTGCATCTCGAAATCTGAATGCAGATAGAGGAAAAAGCAAATAGTCGAAATGGTGTGGGTAGGGAACAATGATTCATTGACCAATAAAGGATGGGGCTTTGGTGAAAACGACGACCCACTGCAAAGCTCAAAGTTTATTCTCTCTACATTATCACTCCACTCAATGCTACATACCATTTGTTTGGCCTTTAAATTTTATTGTACAGAGACTGCACCGTTGCTGCGCCACCACTTTAGAGCGGAGACCACCACAAACACTACCTATTCCATTTTAACTATTCTGTCCTGCCAAAACTACTCATAAATTACTCTTCCTACCTATCTAACATTTATATTTGTAGTGTTGTGGCCTGGGCATTAAAGAAAGGGGGCTGGCTGGGTATCAGTTTTCACCCACTCCCAATTTTGTATATTAGACTTTATGATTTACATATTACACTTGATCATATCATATCGGTACTTGTAAGCTAAGTTAATATGTACTTGTGGTGTGTCAATTTGACAAATTCTTATTTTATCTTTTAAGTCTATCAACTTTTTTTGAAACAAACGAAACAGACTTCATTAAGAATTCCAAAAGCAGCAATACAAGCCGGTGGGATAATAGCTCACGACTTAGAGACAGACGAAGAACCAATTGTTCGAGCCAATTCGTGAGCCACGTGATTCGCTGTTAAGTCTATCAACTTAATTGACTACTTGTATAATTTTAATATAATATTTATAGTTCATGTTTTAGTGTGTAAGTTTTAATTTACGGGAAAGACCATTACTCAAGGTACATTTTGAATAAAATTTATCTTGTGATTTTAGTGACAAAGGTAATCTAAGATTATACCTAGTTAGGAAATGGGGGTAATCACATTACCGCCACATCAGATTTGAAGTAATATAATTACCTAGATAATCTAAGATCCATGACCATGGTTCACACAATAATGATTAGATCTTGTGATCGATGAGTCATAAAAGATAGAAATTTAAAAACTCCATCAAAGTAGATTGAAAACCTTGATCAAATAGTAGATTTTTTTAAAGGGAAATAGTAGATTTAAAATTTCTTAATATAAACTCAACTTATTACGTGCACTACAAATAACCAATCTTAGTGACTAGTGCCAACAAGTTTTGACTAAACAACTAATTATTATTAATCTTAAAGCAATAAAATTTGAACTCAAATTTAACCTAACTTAATATATAATAAAAAATATTTTGTAAATATATTTTTTGAGTACTACTAACTCTGTTACAATGCAGTATTTGTTCATAACTACTTCCTCAGCCTACCGAAGCACAAAGTGTTAATATCACCCCATTGAAGCTCGAACTCATGACTTTCCATATATAAATATATACATATATACATATACATTAAAGTAAGTTTTGAATTTTATATATATTATTCTACATAAATATATATATAAAATAAGAACAACTCGACTAATTTAAACTCGTGAATTTATTTCAAAAAGAAAAAGACTAAACTCGTAAACTGATTGAACATCGTATCAAAATACTAAGATTCTATCGTTTGACTCAACATTAATGACTCATTTAGTTCAATGAAAAAACATTAAGAATGAATTGAATTTAAATTTCATAAAAAGAATTACTTGAAATATCGATTCTATTAGTTGGTTAAAGAATCAAATGCTCCTACAGAATAAAGATATTTGAGCATAATACAGGAATTTAAATTGTATTTTTTTTCTAAAAAAATGTGAAAAATAAAATACCAAACGGTCAATTTACTGAATTCATTTCCCTCAATTTTGAGATATTCTTTTTCCATAAAATGTTAGACTTCTTCCAAAAGGCTGGATCCCTAATCCCAAAACCCCCCACATCTCAGCTTGACAAAGTATTTGGGAAGATATAATTAGTTACAATGACCCAATGGCTCATTAGACATGGTCAAATGTCGGTGCGCACAAAAAATCTATCTACTTTGACAATATATATACGAGTGAGACAAGATTCAAAGTAAGAAATGATGTTGGGAGAGTGGGGGTCCTCTAGCTATCTGTCGTTTGTTGCGTGGCTGGTAGACTAAAAGGAAATATGCAAAGTGGTGAAGATAGAAAGCACAAAGATTTGGTCACACCGTACCCATAGTCCCATAGTTTAAACAACTAACCACCCACCCACCCATCACGTGTATGGGTGGGTAAAGTCAATAAATGCAAAGACAAAGAGGAAAAAACACTAAAGAATATTTTGCTGTAAATTCCCTTCCCTTCTCGTCGATCTGTCCATTCCCAACAACTAAAATAAGGCCCGCCCAGAACCAAACGCCAAAACACACACCCAAACCCCAATCGCAATTATGAGAATGAGAATGAGATTGAGATTGTACGCACACTATCCACCAACACTTCACACACCCGCCCCCAAACCATGCTCACAAAAGACGAAATTTCTCCTCCCAAAACTCCCACATCTCAACACGACAAAATTTTTTGAGAAAGTAAATTAAGATGACTTAGTGGTCTATTAGGCGGGACTGTGAAAGAATCAGTATTTGGTACCTATAAGGAGCTGAGTCTAGAGTAAATCTCACATTATGACGGTCAGGCTCAATCCACACTCCCAAACCAAACCCTATATATATCTATCTAAAAAATATTGTATTGCATCTGAGGGTCCCCACGGACCCTTTCGAAGTTTTTGGTGAATGATCGTAACAGAGTTTTGAACTTTTGTAAATTAATCAACTTGAGTTATGTCTGGAACTGACCAAACCCTAAATGGCCCTTATTATTATTATTATATATCACTTCTGCATGCTATTACTCTCCCCCTTCTTAAAGGTCTGCATCCAGCCGACCCCTCAATCCCTATTCCCAATCCCTAAATTCAAACAAGTAAATGCATGTCTACCCCAACACACTCACCAACTTTAAAACTTATTGCTGCAATAATTTTTACGGTTTTCTGTCTTGTACGTACTCCTTTGATGACTCACCCCAAGCCCCCAAGTTTTATTTTTTTTTTCTACTAACTGAAAATTTTTTCATAAAAATAAAAAATCGAAAAAAAACACACAAAAAAAAAATATTATTGTACCACAGAATCTAATGTAATGTAAAATGTTGCAGAAGGATAAAGCCAAAGGAGAGAAAATACCTTGTGAATTACGTAATCTTTAGCTTGTGATCCTTTGCGAACCAACTTGAATGCTATGTTTCTTCCCTGACGATCATTAACTGAAGCTCAGCAGCCCTGTCT